GTCAGTGTGCACGGCGTCGGGCTTTTCGACATCGTGAAGGCCGTCGGCGACGCGGCCGGGTGAGGCCGGGGCCGCGTTGTCGGCGACTTTCTCGCTCATGGTGGAGGACTGCGAAACTGTAGGATGTAGGAAGAGAGAAAACTGTGTATTAGCAAAGAGAAGAGTCGACCGGGGAAGAGCGATTCTGAATAGCAGACAGCAAAGACGGCTGATCAATGCATCCCGGGCTGGTTTATATACAATCGGGGAGCGGCAGTCGCCGTGAGGAGTCCTCACGCGTGGCTCGTCATCGTTTCTTCTCGCCTCTTCTCATCTGTATTCTCGCGTGCGGTCCCTGGTCGTTCGTCTCTCTTCTTCAGCCCATGTTTGGTTGATCCTACGGCCCGCATTGGTCGTGTAGCCCCAGTTCGCCTCCAAGTACACGCAGTGGTCGAAAATCTTTCCTGTTTGGGACTCTTTGCAGCACCGAGGATCCCCGGCGTCGTATGTGGTTGGCTGTTTTGGAGTACAACACCAGTGGCCTGTTGGTGGATGACCGAGACGACGTACGTTCTTCCTCTTGTAGTGGCGTATATCTGCTGGTCTGGGCCTGGGCGTCTCGGATGTGTTTGCTCCGATACACAATGCCACGGGAGCATTGACTGTCACCCTGGGGACCAAGGCTAGGTGCTTGGGGGCGGGAATTGTCTTGATTGTTCACGGATGTCGTGGAGTATGGATTTCAAAAGTACGTGACGTTGGGACGATGGATGCAAAGGCCCAACAAAGTAGATAAGTTGGCTACTGGTTGACAAACACGGAAGTCACGACGTGCACACCTCCTCTTTTCTTGTTCCCCTTTCTCTCTCCCTGTATCTTTCCCTGTCTCTTTTCTTTTCGTCTTTCCACCTTCCCCGGCTGATCACAACACAAGATGACATAACTGGTACGTGTGGGAAAGAGCCTTGCAGGGAAGGAGCGCAGATGTCAGGCCTGAGGTGTCAGGATGAAAAATACGAAGTCCACACAAAACCGAGACAAGATGAGGCCTACGTTAACGTATGGTGGTTTTTGAGGCGAGCTACGCCCTAATAGAGACAAGAACACGCCAGATCGACAGTCGATGCGGGGGCTAGGGCGGTTTTGAGGGTATTTTGCGGGGCACTGCAGCGGGAAATGGCGCTAGTCTTCAGTGGGTTTGGCTGTGTGCTTAGCAGTGCGCCCAGCCGTACGCCAGCATATTTAGTGGTTACCAGGCTTCAACGCAGTGCTGAATTGCTAGCGATCGCCACGACCGGCTAAAATAGGGCAAACGAGATTGTCAGCGTCATGGATGGGAAATAGAGACGAATGCGCAGAGAGCCACGTGCTGGCTTGCTTTTGAAATTGACTCCGTGGCGATACTCTCGTATAACAGAGACGATATTGGAGGACGAGGACGAGCGTATCCAACTGCAAAAGGCCATGCAAGAACCGTGGCAACTTCTGATGCATTGTCGTGCTGAGTCCGGCACAATGCCTCCGCAGTTGTTGTCTTCGACGCAGGCAGATGTATTCTGCTACGTACTCTCTACTCTGTACTCTGTACTCTATATTATGAACGGTGTACGTTATAACCCTGTGGCCTTATCGGGAACAACAACCATTCGGCCCGTTCTTTTGATCTCGCAGCTTTCAGGCGCATGCCCTACTTGTATCCTTGTGTAGCAGGATCTTCGGCGATGTCCCTATCAGGCAAGTCGTCTGGAACGGCGTGACGTTACGCGCACTTGTGGGAGGAACAAGGGGTCATTAAGCCACAACCGAGATGCGGGGATTTGGGGGCGGTGTTGGTTGGGGGATGTGCGCCGGCAACCGAGCCATATCTCGGAGATACTCTTCACGGTGTATGAGAATTGTCCACTTACACCGCTTTAGTGACTCGTGTATTGTCCGCATTTACCACAACTCAGAGACCGTACTGGATTACAGAAGAGCGAGCATTTCTTTACGGATGTGAATCTCGACGGGGCGACGACTGATCTATCATTAGTTCCAGCATCCAGATTCTCACCCGTCCTCACGCCTACGCCGTCTTTGCTCCCATGCCCGGCAACTCGGTGATCCCTATTTCTTTTGTTAGTGTATGTTCGCACCGTTTGACCTGGGTCGTGGGCCACGTACAGTCCTGGCTCTCCTCGAACTGCGGCTTCTTGGTGCACTTCATGGCCTCTGTGTCCGTCTGTGTCTTGAGCACGTCGCAGACGTTGCCTGTGCACTTGGCGTCGAGCGCCCGCTGGAGGGCATCGCCCTTCCAACCAAACACGTAGTCGCCGTGTTGCGAATAGCCGGTCCTGTGCAAAGAGGCAGTTAGTATGGGTGTGCAGCAGGCGATTCGATTTGGGGCAATGGAGGCCCTTGAGAACGTACTTGTCGTTGGTCGACCACAAAAACGGCTGTGACCCATCCTCCGGCCACAGCGTCTTGTCGTTAAATGGCCGCGTGTCCCACATCACCTCGTACATCACCTGTGGAATGTGGACCGGGTGCGTCGACGGACACGCCGCGTTGTTGTCAAACGTCCCCTTGGGCGGGTAAGCCACATGGCTTTCGTGGTCCGGGCTGTCTGTGCTAACGCCGTCCCAGCACGTCGGGAACGTAATCACCGTCCGGATGCCGCCTAGGCACGGCTCCTTCGGCAGCGATTCCGTGTCCGGTGACGAGCACTCGATATTGTTGCGGTCGCCGTCGGCAATCATGCACCGGTGGCACACCTTGCGGTCTTTGCCCCGCTTGCGCAGCGATGCGTCCCCGACGAGCATGCGGAACCCGGGCTTGAACGCCGTCACTTTCGTCTTGCCGTCGTACGGCGGGATGTAGTACACCGTGATGCCGCCATTGCCTCCAAGGCCGACGTTGGGAAACTGCGGCACCCGTCGCAACGTGCCGTTGCGGGCCTTGAAGTAGAGGACGGCGGTCCAGTAGTTGGAAAAGTCTTCGGAAAATGTGCAGCTCGTACACGTCGACGCGGTCGCCAGGTCGTGGGTCGACGGGTCCATGGTCGCGTTGAACGAGTTGCCGCCCACAATCTGGTGCAGGTGCGGTGACGGGATGGCGCCTGGGTTGACCAGCGGATCGATGCGGTCGGTTACCAGCTGCGAACAGCTGAACCGCAGCATCGGGGCCCGGGCTTGGGCCCACGCCTGGTGGAAAAACAGTGCGAATGCGAGTATCACGACATGCATGGCGGCGTCAATGTCGATGTCGAATTCCAAGGTATGCCTCCTGAAGTGCACGGGCGGTGTCCTTGGAACGCAGACAAAATATACAACAAACGACGAAATCCATATACATTTCTTGCCTATCGTCGGAATCATAACAAACAACTGCCGGGCTGAAGTCGGCGGAAACACTTTATCCTGATAGTGTCCTATATTGCTCCCGCCCGGATCTGTTGTCCTCTGTTCTTCCGACGAGGAACTTGCATCCTTCTAAACCAGTAAATTCACAATGGCCATCACATACTAGCAAATAAACGAGGGGCTCAGTATGTCGTGTAGTCGTGTCACTAGATATGCATTTAAGCATATCTCGTAAGCCATGCTAGGGCTGGATCAACGGTGAGATTAACGGCTACCGGCCTCTACCGCCGTAATTACTTTGTTTTCACTCGACGGCATTATCTTCCCGCCATAACCAAGCAAGGGCTAAGACAACGACCGCCGGGTATCAGTCGCCACGACGGGCATCAAGTACCAGGAATTCCTGCACCTGCAATATTTGCGATACGAGACAGAGTCCCTTGCCGCGCGCAACTAAAGTCCGCAAGACAACTCTCCCGCAATCAGACGACAGTTTGGGCAGTCTCATCGTGCGCGTCGATCTTCCCGTTTTTCTCATACTATTTCCACGAACATGCTTTTATCAGACGGACATTCCTTGTAGATGAATGTATCCTCGAAAGGTTTGGCATGCCAAATATTATTCAATACCATGCTGACCACGTCTGGAACGAAACCGCTGCTTACAGATTATTGCCACGCATTCTACCATCCCTGTCCCTATATTCCTTGACATCGGACAGCAGGACGACCTGGTGTACTGAAAGGCAGAAATGAACCAGCGGGTGTCGAACTGGCCACAATGAGCCAGGAATACGAGCAAAGGGCGGTCTCCATTCTTCGTCAGCAGCTGGGTATGGGCGTGTTATCCTAGATCTGGGCTTTGCGACGCAGCCGGTTCGACGGCATCGATACATCGCTGCCGGCCATTATATACCCGTGCGTCGGCCAGAAGAGGATCAAATATATCTACCATTCTAGTAGCCCAGACTTGTAAATGGTGCAAAGTGTATATCATTACGTTCAAGGACTTAAACGCTGCGTTTATGCAAAGGGGTTGACCCAGCATCCCGAGTATGGTTTGTGTCTTTCTTGCTCGTTCTACGTTCTGTCCCTAGAGCTGCCTGTACTGTCCCATCGATGCTCTAACCACATACTGGCATGCCGTCTACAGATCGTCGACAGCACGAGACTAAATGAACTACGCAAGTGACTCGCTCAGCTTTCGCCACACAACCCCAGGCGGCCCTTCTCAATAATCAGTTAAGCATTCGAGGACTAGCTGAATCGGCAAAACTGGTTTGATTCTTATCCCGATTTTCACGTTCATTGTCCAAAACAAGCCTACATAGGAAAGCCTACAAACCGCGGTGACAGCACCGTCTTTGATATCATCGACTCGACCAAGACCCGAGAGCGATCCGGTGGCTGGGATACAACACACAGCACAAGGGACGGGACCAAGGAGCTAAATCTGCTTCGCATTTTGACTTACTAGACGTAATACTAACTACAAAACATTTCTCCATTTAGTAAACAAGAATAATACTGCGGCGATGCTATATAGCCCAAGCTTCTATTGTACAACAGAAACAACCTGCATATTCTCCTCTGCAACACATCGCCGACGAAATATCTTTTATCATCCTCTTCGTCTGATTCACGTCCGCCGGGTTGTCCATCTCTTGACTGGGGGCCATCCTACGGCCACTCGTCCGGGAACTGTCCGTAAAGAAACATATCGTCCAACTCCGCTTTGATCTCCATTTCATCAATAAACGGCCGGGAGGCGACTTCCCTGTCTTCCACGACTCTGTTGCACGCCACGGTCCACTCCAGCGCGTGGATGGTCGCGGCTTTCTCCTCGTCGTCTGCCAGAACAGGGGGTTCACTTGACACGTTCCACAAATACTGTGCATTCTCCCGAGACAGACAGCCAAACTGGACACTGAACTTGAAGAGGATGCACTGCCGAAGGCGGCCCCTTGGCAACGCGCCCAGCGAATTCCAAAGTGCCTGGGCCACATTGGGCAGCAAGCAGCCGACGGCATCGTCGTCCCTTTTGGGAGCGATGATGGGCACGTCCGTCGGAACATCGCACCGCCTCTGGTGCAGCGCATTGATAATGAATTTGAAGCGCAGAAAGTCCTTGCTAGGTCGGTAGGACGTACCCCTGAACTGGAGTCTCTTTCGGTGGAGACCGCGCATCGCATCTGGTGCGTCGGGTTTGCGTAAGTCTCCGTCCAGGAGGTATATGACATAGGTAGAACTGCCCTTCTCGCCGTCGGAGCCTTCGTTGTCCTCCAAGGGCAGAATTGTCGCGCGCCCGGAATCCACCAGCTCCTTGTACAAGCCACACATGACCATGCCGTTCTCGGGTCGTTTCATCGGCGTTAGCTCTCCGCCCGGCCTATCGTCGGCGCCACCAAAGAGCGCCGTAGAAGAACCCTCATGGACACCGAGGCACTTGAGCACCGGACAGCGAGCAATATTCGTACGGTGCACGTAACTGCCAAGAATGGGACACCAGACATTCTGGGTGACCGGGTCTCGGGTCATAGGAATACTGCGATAAAATGAGACTGTCCAACTTGGGTCGGGATTGGGTGTAGCAGTGACAGTGTCGATCAATGCATCGTCGTCGAAGTCCAAGCTCCGTGGTATGCGCATCCACTCTGTCTCGATATCGCACGTTTTTTCACCTGGCCGGACAAAGAATTTGCTCAGCGCCAATAGTATTTCCGAGCGCTCTCGCAGAAGTCGTCTTCGTTCACATTCGTAGTACGACAGCTTAGCTAGTCCCCTGGTCCACATGTCATCGAGCGCGGCCATCTGGTCGTACAGCCGGGAATACGACTCTTTCCGTTCGCGCAGCCTTAGCAACAACCTCAAGCAAAAGGCCTGTAGGCGCTGGCAGAGGGGACGCGAAGGGGTCGGTTTGACGACAAAAGTTTTTGCAGCAGATAAATAGGAACCCATAGTTGAATAGGGTAGTGACGTAATATATAATAGGATTTATGGTAGTGTATATCCAAACCGAGGCTGACAACAGGTGGTAACGTGCGATCAGATGTTCGAGATCAGTGGTAAAGGTGATGAAAAACGAGATTCACACAGTTGTAATAGACAGATGCACAATTGAAAGACGCAGCAGACGAGAAAAAACGTGCACTTAAATATTGTCACAAAATCTGTACATTACTCATATGGCCATTTTATAGGAATAAACTTTATTTGTTGCAGTGCGAAGTCGTGATCCTGTATCTGCCAACCTGAACGCTCGGAGCGTCTTATAAAGTTCAGCCAATCATGGCTCAAGACAAGCGACAAAGTTAAGTAAAACTAAACTACAATCTCACGGAGTATGAACTCAAGTGCAACACACTGTTGTCAGGCTGTCCGTACGCCGTTCGTATAGCTGGTTCATTGCTGTGCAATGAAGTCGTTTTAAAAAGGATCTCGTGTTCGGCTTACAACAAAGTGCTAGAATACGCACAAGAACAATTATACTACTCATCTCTGCTGTTTTGGGTCCAAATAGATAAAGGCGCAAAAATCTGTAACGAAACAACAATGTACAGATTGAGATTTACGTTCAATTAATGAAAATGCTGTAAAACATAAACTGCTCTACACGGTCCTGACTTGAGTTCAGAAAATTACAATTTTCATTTAATTTTTTGCCTTGCCGAACTTTACAACGGAAACTTAGTGGCAGCATCAGATAACACAGAAGTTGAATTCTCTGGCACCATGACATAACACATGCGGAATAAGTCCGGCCATTACCTAACCTGCGTCTCACTCTTGCCAAAATTGTTTACTGGCGGCATCTGTGCCGCATAAATCACCTTTATGGTTCGTAGACCAAGTGTGGTTCTTTCGTGGCAATACAATTTTTGGCTAATGCCACTTCAACGATACATGAATACTAGATAGAGAAACCTAAAAAAATAAATAAAAAACCACAGAATGAGTAGATTGGCAGCAACCTAGGGTAGCGCCGAGATGTTGTATTAGTAAGTAAATAGAATATAGCGAATGTAAAATTCCAGTAAAACAAGCCACTCCGGCAACGATACACGACAATTTATTTCGTTCAAGGAGCGATCAAAGCCTGTGTACGCAAGGGCCACCCCCCGCAAGAGTGTCTACACTTTCGACAGGCTGTCTTGCTTGGTAGGAATTATGGGCTGGTTCGAGTCCAGCTCGCCGACCTCGCTGACCTCGCCTTCACCCTGAATCACAAAGGGTGCCACCTGCTGGTCATGGACCATGTGGGAAATGTTGATCTTGGGGCCCTTAAACCACTTGTGTGCGTCGACCCAGAACCAGACAACGGCCAGCAGCATAGGTGCACCCCAGCAGAGAATGGTCCAGTTCATGCCTTGGGCATCCAAGTTGGCACCCGTGACGGAGGGCAAGCAGAGGATAGGGATCATGAACAGGGTGAACGTGGTGGACAGGACGCCAATGACGTACGAGAATTTGCCCAGGTTCCAGGGCCCCGGGCGGAAGCGGCTGCCTACAAAGAACGTGCGGATGGCAATGGGAATGGTGAAGGCGACAAAGGCGCCAATGGCGCCAATCGAGAAAATGGCACCGATGGCGGCGTCGCCGGCAAACAGCAGAAGCACTGACACACAGCCGACAAAGCAGTTGAGCCAGACGGCATTGACGGGCGTCTTGGTAGTCTGGTTGACCGAGGCCCAGTACCGCGAGAAGGGGAGGCAGCCATCGCGACTGTATGAGAACGTGACACGCGACGCGGCAACCATACAGCCCTGGCCCATGCTGAAGCCGGCGACAATGGTCAGCGACAGGCAGGCGAGGGCAGTCTTTTCACCAAGCACCTGCAGCAGGTAGGCAGCAAAAGGCTGACCGCTCTGATCGTTGAGGGCGGCGTCAATGTCGACAATCGTATAAGCAATGGCCATGTTCAATGCCCAACCGATGGCGCCGCCAATGCCAGAGGTCATGACAATGGCGCGTGGGCTGGCAATGTTGGCGTTGGAGCACTCCTCGGACAAGTGGAAGGGCGAGTCGTAGCCGCTCATGGTCCAGATGACGGCGATGAAGGACATCAAGATAGACACGCCCTTGGGGAAGTCGGTACCCGGGTAAAACTCGCCCCAGACGGCCGACGAGTCGTTGAAGCGAGACAGGCCCTGGGACGAGCGGTTGTCGGCGGCGAGGATGACAACGAACACGACGACGAGGGCCATCATGTTGAAGGTGCTGCCAATGGAATTGAACTGAGCCACGAACCGCGTCGGCGCCGACGAGATGATGGCATGGACGATCATCAAAAAGACGGTCAACAGGAACACCTGGTAGTTTTGCGGGCTATAGTCCTCGTGCGTGATAGAGGCAGCAGCCAGGATCATGGCAGCTAGTGAGTAGTTGACCGAGGGTGCGGCCGTGACCTGACCCAGCCAGTTGGACCAGCCCGTGCACCAGGCAGCAAAGGGGCCATACTTGGGTGGCGCCAGGACGGCCGAGGCATAGTACAGGCCACCAGACGTGGGCATGGCGGAGCACAGCTCTGCCATGCCCATGGCGATGCACTGGATAAAGGCCATGGCGATCAGCCAGCCCCAGACCATGCCCGGGGTGCCGGCATAGCCGAGGCCGTAGTAGAGAGTCGAGGCAACAGAGGGCAGCAGGCCGAGGACGGCAAAGGAGACGCAAAATGTCGACCAGAGGGAGAACTCGCGTTTGAATTCGGACCTGGCACAGCACCGTCAGTACATCCGTAGAGGGTGGTCGATATCAGTAACAGGGAGAGACCCACTTGTAACCCAGAGCTGCCAGGACATCGTCGTCCGCATCATGGTCGCCCTTCAGCACCGGGATCTCATTGGCTGCCAATACAGATGTGACCGGTTCTTCGTCAACACGCTTCAATGAGTCCTTGTCGTCGGCGGACATGTTGGTTCCGAGAATCTTTGTGCACTGGGCGGGGGCTTCCGGGGCGGGAAAAGCTGCAAGTGAGGTCGGGTTGCGTTTGATCTGTTCATGGGATGGAGATTTGGGGGGGATGTGAGGAGTTGTTTTTCTGGAGAATGTAAGTCGTGTCAATGACAATGAAATTGTCGATGTGGAAAGGGCGAGGGCGGCGATATAAATAAACGGTCCGCGAGAACGAATTGGGAGGACGAACTGGGGGGCGGGAAAAAGGACAGCCAAACGGACAACAAGAGGGCAGTCCTGATAAGCTCACGACCGCTTCACCTGCCAGCATCTCCACACCATCTTCATCGCCCGTCTTCATCATCGTGCTCGCATGGCCAGGAGCAAGCAAGCTGCCAAGCGGCCCACATTACATCAGCGCGCGTGGGTGCAGAAGAGTCTTGAGGGTTGCGCTCGGTCTGCTGGGTGTTGATTTGGTGGACTATGCAACTGCAGATGATGGACAAATACGTAAACAAAACGCTCAGATACGGCGTGGGGTAACAGCAGGGAGGACCATGATGATAAGGACAGGCACACAGAGCACACAAGGTGCGTAGGCGAGCGGCTCTACTTTCCCATTTGGGAATGATTTGCCAGGCGCTATTGAGCTAATGGAGGACATGTGTTTGAGGGGAAGGAGCAAACGAATACGTCGCAGAGCGAAGGCCAACAATAGAAAGGAATTACGACATTCAGGGAGCATGTCCAGGGAGTAAAAAGTACGTACTACCGTACGAGCGATAAGCGACGCTCCGAAGACATTGCTGCAACATCATCACATAGTCGATAAAAGCACAGGTTCTGTCAAATGGATTCAAGGAGGATTGGGTGGTCTGCTGTGGCGGGAGATAAGACATACTGCCGCTAATTACACAAGTTGTGGCTCCGCAATAGTCTGTTCCTCAGTGCAATTGTCACCAGAAACGGTGTATTTAGTGCCTGTTTTTACCGAGGACGACGTGTGGAGCGCTACGTAGCCCGCAATGGCAGCTAGGCCTTACAGCGGGAGAGATAAGGAGTCTGGGGACAGTACGATTTAGTGTCTGCAGATTGGCGCGTTTGGTGTCCTAGCCTTCCGGCCAGAACGCGCCGCAAGCCCTAAAACGGAATATTTGTCCATGGAATGGTGTTTCCTTCCCCGCCCTGTTATCAACAGCTAGCAGATAACAGCAGGCGGAGCGGCCAGACGGAGATAGTTACAGCGCTTGGCAAAGGGAGATGGCGACACATCAAGACAGCCCAAACCGTAGCACCCGCTCTGAGCCATAAAGTACGCTAAACCAGGTCTGTAAACTACACGCGACCGCCCTACACCCTTGCAGCTCGACGCGTTGCCAATCTTGGACGCCGCCTTCTCCAAGCAGCGCCTCCATAACTCCTCATTACATCCATCCCCTCTTATCAGCCTTCTGGCCACCTTCCACTGTGTGGCAGTTGTTTGACAAGCGACTATCAATGGCCAGGGTACGCCCACGACCGATACTACCGTCTGGACAAAATGTCCCATTTGGGAAACGCCGGGCTGAGAGGTCGAACGTGCGATTGATCAATAGGTAAGCAGGACATGGCGCCTTGCTGATTTGGACTGCAATAGGCCTACCATTAGCAGGATCAATCACCGAATACACCACGGGCAGAGACGACACTTGAATTGCACGGAGCACTTTGAGACCTTCACACCACGTCGGCGTCTGTCGAGGGTTTGTTGCTTTGTTGTTTTTGTTCAACTGAAACTGTATTGATTTCCTACTGAATTTGATTCTGACTTGACTAGTTTTCCTTTCCCAGAATCCAAAGTCCCCGGATTACATCAACAAACACAAATCATCGTCATCGTCTTTCACATTGGGTGTGCTCTTGGCCGCTGGTTTAGGCTTGGTCGCCGGCTTTAGCTGCGTCACGGACATGGTCGCCGGCTCATTCGCCGGTCTCTTCGCGTACCGGTTAGCAACGAACAATGCCCAGTCGGACGACGGCTTGTGCATGTCCGTCTCCTTCGTGACAATGGTCGGCTTCAGCTTGGCCAACTTTGCTGTCACGTAAGAGGAATAGGCCGTTACCAAGCTCCCAAGTCTCCCCGGCCAAAACCACGGCTCCGTACACAAGCGGACAAATTTGGGAAGCAAGGCATCTATTGCCGCGGCCCACACTTGGCTGACGCGAGAACTCTCGTGCGAACGAACCGTAAGAAGACAAGACTCGGCTTCGTACACAATGCCCATGTTATCTACTGAAGACCTTTCCCCGGACCAGCCAGACAGCGTGGGCGAACTGGCAACGATATGGTTCACAACCTGCAAAAGCCAGACGTTCAGCATGCTAATGATCCGTTCGTAAGGTGCAATGTCGCTCAGTTGGATGCGCGTCTCCGCCCACTGGTGATAGGAAGCGACAATTGTTTTTGTGATGGCACCAATTGTTTTGTGCACCTCGTCCACCGGAAGCATCTGCATGATAACGGCAAAGCTGCGCATGACGATGATCAAGTCCTGGCCACACGTTTGCACGGCGGCATATCCGGCGGCAGTCGATGGGTGGGCTTTGTAAAGATTAGTGATGATCTTGTCGATTGTTGTGAGCACCTCGTCGCCGATCTGCATGCTGGAGGCTAGCTCTGCGATATTGGCTGATGTGTCCGTCGCCGTGGACCTTGCCTGTGACGGAGACGCTTCAGTTAGGCTGCCACTGTCCTGCGCGGTCGATGTGGTAGAGGGAGCAGTGGTGAGGACGAAAAGGTCGATTTCGTCGTCCAGCTTTGTATCAATGTTGTCAGCCATTGTGAGGTACTGTGATTAGGATATTCGATTCTATGATTTCGACGTGGAGAGGTGTTGCTCGACATTGAGTTTTGAGCGACAGATTCGCAGTGCAACGTGTCATGTTTATGTACTCCAGAGGGCAGGGGAGAGCGATACCTGGCAAGCACTTGCCATTTGTTTCGTGCCGAGGGGCAACAATAGTGATGCTGTTCATTTCAACCTAATATGGAAGGCTCTATGTCAGCCATAATGGCATCAAGAGAAAACGGCCTGTTGGATCGACTCAGCAATGCCATTCTCGTATCATCGTTCCTTCCCTGGTTGCACGAAATAACGCGACATTGTTTTCGTCTGCTATAACAAGAGTCATTGTTTGTTTCATTTGTACACATACCATCTTTTGGCCAATATTGCACAAACCTCTTGTGTCGCCATCCAACACCATCACGGCGACAGACATATCCAAGATCGTCGACCAGAACTCTATCACTGGCTGTGAGAGCATTCGCATGGACATCAGCTAAAACTCAACAGCTTGTGTCATACTAACACAAATACCATCATAGATATCTACAAAAATGCATTACACGCCTCATTACCACGCGCCTCCCATACAGACCAAAAGCGAAGAATTTAGACGGGGTATGGGCCCGCCCGTCTTGGAGGGCTCCTTGTGGTACCATGTAGTTTTAATCGTCCTTGCCTGCATTGTGGGCATTATCTACGACATGCTCAAAACCAAGAAGCGAGAAGAAGCCGACAAAACCGATCCGCAACTGTCTGAACCTTGCTGGCCCGTCCCTCCACCAGTCTCTGCAACATCCGCCGCCACTGTGTCGGCCTCTGATAAGCCTGCCGTCCACAAGAAGAAGGGAAAGGGAAAGAAGAAAGCCTAGCTCCGAACTTGGTATATCAACATTGAAAAATGATGCAAGTACTCATACAGTGCCAGAAATCCTGCTCGCAAGTCGAACTATTTGGCCGTTATATCGTGTGCATTGTGTGATGGCCGCGATGTTTGTTGTATTACTTTCAGTGTTCAGCACAAGTTGGCTGTTTAGTCTCCTGTGCCTTCTTGTCCATATATGACGAGGTGGCATGTACTTCCAATTGTCCCCCACGCATAGTGGTTTGGAGTAGTGGCCTTTGGGGAACGATCGATATTTACACGAATAGAACTAGCTTGGTCACAAGACCTCACTAAGTGTCACGCATTCTTACACTTGAGCTTCGACTGCATTACTGTTGGTTTGACCATGACATCTGCGACCAGGTTAATCACCAAATTCTCTAACGCGTTACTCTGAAGAAACATCTGTGCATCATGCCGCACACCTTTTTAATTTAAGTATATTGTTGAGGGCGGCGTTTCAAAATTGAGAATCTGCGTGTAGAGAAAAATCTGTCGTGGTCCTGCATTGCTCGAGGTGTTCAACACTAGTGTAGGTACGTCCCTTATGACCATACTAATTATTAAGTTCGGCAATACGGAAAGAAGATGAGTCGAACTCTTTGGTGTTGGTTGTTTAACACCACCTTGAAGCTGCGTAAGCCCCTTCCGTAGTAATGTTGTCGTCGAAGAGACTGTATGTAACGTATGTGTTTAGGAGTCTGAACGGCGTATCCTGCGGACTGCATACGCAAGTACATCTGTCCATGCAGCCGGTCCTCCTTTTGTATAAATATCTGCTCTGGCAATTCTGTTCCGGCCTTACTTCCTTAACCGTTATTCCACAATATTTGCACCTGCCACAATCACCACCAGCCATACATCTTGAACAACAAGTCAGTTTATCGCCATGGATGTCACAGACGAACTTGCTAGTGACTCGAAAAGCGAGGTGACAGTGGTCGAAAGCGATATTATCTCTCCATGCACCACGCCACGTGATATCAACGATGCAAGGCATGAAAATGACGCAAAGGCTAGGCAAACCACGTCCTGCACGTCATTGTCCCTACCTCCACACAGTCAGTTCAATATGGACAATATCCTAGACGATGCGGAACGTCTTACCTATGCCATACGCGACGCCATCACGGACATCTACAAAGCGACACTGTTGCTAAGGGAGGAGTATCCCACTCTCACGGAAGATTCCCCCCGTAAAGCTGCATCCCGAGTTGTTGAGATGCTGGAGCATTTTGCGGAAATTATAATTGCGCTGCCTGCCGAAGGACGCACCGAGACGGCACTCTTGCTGGTCACCCATGTGCTCGAGTGTCATAGAGCCTGGGCCAACTGCAATTCCCATGGCGGGTATCAGGAAATAGAGCACGGCAGAGCCATATACGCTTCACTGACGGAAAAATGCCGGGCAATAGCACTTCAAAAAATACTCGACACCGACTACCCGTTCCCTGCACAGGCTGCGGCTGTTGATACTAAAACCGTCTGCTTCCACTTGCAAAAATGCACCGAACTTTGCGGGTGGCCGTTTCAAATCCCCAATTTAATTCAAATGTGGGTCAGGATACACAGTGACCTTCTACCGTTCTTCGTTCGATTCTGCACAGACACACCAAGGTACTCACATCATTTCCAATCTCTTGCGCGCATACATGGTCGTTACACCAAGAGTGTGCTTCACGACCTAGAGCAGGAAAGATGTAAGCAGGAGGATGGTAAGAAGGAAGTTGGTAAGGAGGAAGTTGGTAAGGAGGAAGATGGCAAGGCGAGGGGAAAAAAGGTCAGTCGTAAGAGGACATGGAGGATATGGTCTTGAAACAGGTTTGTTGGGATTAACGTTTTTGGCACCTGGAGGACATGTATGGCTAAGAGACAAACTTTGTTAAATATCAAATATACCAGGTAAAACTCAATTAATTTCACTTCAATCTTTGCTCGCTCTCACTTACTAGACTGGTCTTGGTTTCCTTGTGAAACAATTACTCGTCCAGGACACCACGAAGAAGTGCCAGTCTATCGCCCTGGGCCCCCCATAACAATACTTACAGGATAAAAAGAAAATACATGGAGGAGGCATCTATTTACGCCCGGTAGTAATAAGAAAGAAAGAAAAAAAAAACTTAAAACTGACACGGGCCGCTCGACGTACTTCTCAACTCAACAACAACTCTTGCCGGCCTGGGCTGCGCCGTCACCCCCGACCCGCAGAATTCCCCCCATTCTCCTGATCTCCCTGGCCTTCCTCATCAACGGGCCTGGCGTTTGCCTTCCGGTGCAGCATCTTCCCAATGGCTGCCGCCCATTCACCGACGGTGTCCGCACCGTTTGCTATGGCTCCTGGAAGCCACCCCACCACCTTTAAGATACCCTCGCGTGCCTTTTTCTTGCCGTATTTCCAGGGCACGACTTTTACAAGGACTGCCCCGATAAAAAGCTTCATGGAGGTATCTGCAAAGTTGGCGATGGGTCCCTCCTTGTAGGCCTCCGCCATCACGGCAGCGGCTACTATGGTCACGCTGCCGTTGGCGCACGTGGCATGTGGCCTCAAAGGTGATGCGATTGCCCTCCAAACAGGATGTGCAAGCGGAATATCCTGGTACAATTCAGCAATTCTGTACGCAGGTGACACATCCTTTGTGCTTTGCTTTGTGCTTGGGGATAACCCAGGTAACAGGCTCTGTTTACCAAAAGTGGATAGACGAATCGCCCTGGAACCTAGTATTAGGTACTCGGTGGCCACGATGCCTAGTCACTAGCACCGTCTGATAAGCACCCGCGGAGGCCCATCCCAAACGAGGACGCCGTCAAGGATGTTGCAAAGAAATTGAATTCATGGTTGTGTTATTGATGTATTTCGTGGCGTGGATGTGTTCCGAATGGCAATGGGCTGCTGGAGTGACTCGACGATCTATTCAAGCTCAGCTAATAGTTAAACGGTGTATCGCCTCTCTTTCGCTATTCTTCTTTCCCCAGATTGACCAAACACTCTCTACATACGATGTCCCTGGCAATGTATTGCAGTCAATGGCACGCTATGGACGGAGTTGAGAGGCACTGCCGTATTCTGCCACCGTTGACCGCCTCGCTCCTTCCTTCCCCCGCGTACCTTCAATCTCACTCCTGCCTCAAACACGTTCGCGAAGGGACGCGCAACGGGCCATAATTAACCTCAATACACATTATAGCCATCATACATATGACGCCACCGACACAAGATTCTCGAGAACCGCCACGGTTGAAAACCTGCGAAACATGCTTCCACGCCAAAATCCGGTGTGACCGCACACAGGACTCAGGCTCCTGCGACCGGTGCGTGCGCCTGCACAAACACTGTGTATTTGCCATAGCGCGCCACGGCAGACCGCATGGTAGGCACACTCGGAGTACAAATGGCCCCGATCGTTTAGAAGTGTGTAGGCAACGTATGTCTGTATCGCCCGTTGGTATATCCTCGTTGCCCGCATCTACATCACCAGGCCATGTTAGCGACGACATCGCTGCCTCGTTGTTGCACTTCTACAGCAGCCGCATGCTACCACATTTCCCGTTTGTACACATACCAAAAAATGTGGCACCGGTGATACTGCAGGAGCAGCGGCCTTGTCTATACCTTGCCATTTTGGCCGCAGCCAGTTACGGCAACAGCATCTTGCAAAACCGACTCAGCCGGTCTTTCAATGCCACTGTGGCAGAGAAAATGATACATGGAAATATAGCATCGCTTGACCTATTGCAAGGTCTTTTGGTGCACTCGGCATGGTATGAACAGCCTCTGCGCCGGTCTTGCTTGAATGAATAACTAACAAATGTACCAAATCCAGGGCGCATTATCAACCAAGGCCACGGAAGTATTCTCAGCATTTGCATCTTGCCACAAGTATCGTGTCTGATCTGAGGTTGGACCGGCCAAAATCCATTGCATTATGGAACGTGGAAAAGCCTGCCCCGGACGATACAGAAGAGTTTCCTACAGAATGGAGCACGCAAGAACTGCGAGCTCTCATCGGCACGTATTACTTGTCGTCCATGTGAGTATCATCGCTGTGGCCATACCATTCTAATCTGCCACATGCACTGACATAGTTTTAGATCCTCCATTGTCATGCAGAAGTTGAGACATTTCCCACGCACTGCCTTTGTCCTAGAGAGTGCTGTCAAACTCTCTGTTCTGGCAGAATACCCGTCGGATGCATATATTCAGCACATTGTACGTTTGCAGGAACTTTTAGAGGCTGCCGATGATATTTTGAAGTTACCGGCAGCTCCACAAGATGATGGATATACAAGAACGGCCCCCATGCGGGAAGAATTAGACTCTTTCAAGTCATCCCTCTCATTTCCATTGAGCGACAGTTGTAAGCAAACTACCCCCTCGATATCACGTGACGGCGGACATTTAACATCATAGCCACGATGTCCTTGCAAGTTAGTTTTCTTGAACTTATACTTGGCCAGATGACTCTGCCCGGCTTCCCTTTTGGCAACAAGAAGATGGGAAACGCCATAATATATGACGCACGCCTTGTCGAAAGCCTGACGTCTGTCGTATCTGCGTCACGTTCTTTGGTCGGTTTTCTGTTGGGCATGACACCTGGCGAAGAGTTTGTCATCACAAACATGGCCTGGGTGATACTGAGCTGCGGATTGTCTCTTGCGGTCCGGCTCGACGTTCTTGTCAAGGACCCCCGAATATCGCCCCTGACGCATCAACTTGTCCACTTTCTTGACATTCGACATTCCCTCCGCCAGATACTCCTACGGTTGGAGTCAGCTGCTTCGGCCAATTCGACGGCGGAAACCAAAGACCAAAGCACATTTCACCAGTTCTTAAAGAGGGCACGAGCCATTGAGACCTGGCACAAGCAGCATCTCCAAATGATATCGCCCTCTGGGACTACAGTCTCAAACCAGACTCCGGGTGCAGCATCAGAAGGGTCATCTTTAACGACGATAGGAGTTTCCAACCCAAGCAGTTTTGTTCAGCCAATGGACTCGGCAAGTGTTATTGCAGCAGATACGTCTCTTCTACAGGAGTCGGGTTTCCATATTCCAATAGAATCCCAAGGTGCGCTGCAAACGCTTGATTACTCGGTTTTGGATATCCTCTTCGACGGGCAATTCCCTCCATTTGATGGGTACATACGGGGTATGTAACACGTCGTCCTTGTGCCCGCTGGTATTAGTTCAAATACAATATTTCCATGCATTACGGTCGGGCCAATTCAATTCGCAGTGCCAAGACACCATACGTTGATAAATGAGCCATGGCCGTAGTTCGTCCGTCACCGAGATGATGAGCTTGGTGCCTTGACTCCACCGCCCCATCCTGCAGGGGAGATTGAAGGGTGCAGTAGTGATAGGTACCACAAAGTGTATGGAGTGTTAGTTCATATTCTACGAATGATTGCAGCGGCTCTCAAGAAGCTTCTTCGTGGTATTGTGGCTGTGCTTAATCACCATCTGCTGATGAGCACCGGTCATACACGGATGCGGATGCGGATACGGACACGGAGAAAAAATGGGTCAACTCACTTACACAGGGCAGTGAGCCAAGAACTGCATTCATAAAGCGTTGTCGTTAATGGAATCAGATTGTCGAATCTGTTGACAATCAGTAGTGGCTTTTATTTACATGTTTACTTATATATAAGTGTTGCGCAGCCACTTCCGTGTCTACTTTTTCTTCTCGTTTACCATCCCCCATCCTCCCTCCACCATCCACAGCTTTTCGTGACTGTCACAGGTACCCCAGCTCACATTATCTCCGCCACCATGCAACATCGAGCAAGTCTTGTCGCCCTCCTCGCGGGACTAGCTGCAGTTTCGTCCGCACAGGACTTGCCTTATCAGCCCTGTCCTCTCATTCGTGCATACTACCCAGTTCCAGGCATCAACAAATCGTCCTCTGCCATCCAAAAGGCAACTGCAACTTTCAGTGGACTTTTTGATAACCTTGTGAAAACGGGTTGCAGTGATAACTTTGGCTGCATTTCTCCCAATACGACATCATTCTCGCTCGCACTTTACTCTATTGCCGACGCTGGCGACGACGAAGATTTCATATTCTTCGACTACTCCCATACGGTTCCTTCCTTGGCAAACAACAAAACGGTCGGTCTCGACACGATCTTTCCCACTGGAACATTGACTCAAGTCTTCACTGTCTATGCCTGGCTGATCCAGATGGGCGACGGCTACTGGGAGCAGCCTATCACGGTATTTCTGCCTGAGTTGTTGGAGACGAGTTTGTCCTCGGGCTCTATCGCTGTGGACTGGGATAACGTCTCTATCGGTTCTTTGGCTGGCCAGATGTCAGGCATTGTTCGTGACTGTAAATTTTCTTTTCTTTTTCATCTCTTTTCGTATATAAAAGACGGTTCACAACGTTCTAACCTCAGTCCAGCCTACGCCTGCCAACTCGGTAGCGAGTGCAATCATGAAGGTATGTCATGTCAAATCAAGTATACGCCTCTACTTGCTGATTATCTACCGTTTGATACAAGCTGACCGTAATTAGATTTCATCACGAAGATAGGTGCCTCTACGCCATATGCGCTCCCGGACACAACACCTATTATCTCCAACGCAGCGTTCCAGCTTCTTGCATTTGCCATCGAGAGAAGCGGCAAGGCAAAGTGCAAGGCCACAAGCTTTGATGCCATCCTATCCGCAAGCTTCCTTCAGCCTCTAAACATGACAAGGAGCGGCCTTCTTACGCCATCCTCTGAATCACAAGTCTTTGGTGGGGACTTTCACAGCTCAAGCATCGGCGAGCCGGCGTTAGTACTCCTTTTGTTTCCCATTATTTATGATTATCATAATGTTTTTTTATTTTCTAACAAAATTGCTCACGCGCAGTGGAATGTCACTTCTTTCGACGACACGAGACTTGGCCAGGGCAGGTCGTGCAATGATGAAGTCCAAACTCATCTCTGCATCCGCGACACGCCGTTGGCTGCAGCCCATTGCAGACACATCCAACCTTCGGAACGGTGTCGGCCGTCCGTGGGAGATCTACCATGCTGGCCAGTACGCAAACTCGACCGTGCTTGACGTCTTTACGAAGAATGGTTATGCCGGAGCTTATGCGAGCTACTTTGGACTGTCGCCAGACTTGGGTGCAGGATTCGCCATCTTGTCCCACGATACCAGTGGCACGGCTGCTGATCTCAATGCCTATGCTGACATTGTTTCCTTGGCCTTGCTGGATCTGGAGGCGTTGGCAGCGGCGGAGGCCGCGGCGTACTACAGCGGAAACTATACCGGCCAATCTGGAAATGGCGACACTGCTGTTATCCAGTCGCCCAGCGATGGCTACGGCTTTGTGGTTGCAGATCTCGTTGTCGACGGTATTGACTTGCGCAACCAAACAGCCTTTGCGGCCAATATTGAGCTGGAGAACCTTGACTTCCGCATCTATCCGAGCAATGTAGTTCAGGGCACAAAACATCTGTTTGTAGCCGTTTTCCAGGACAAGAAAGCACCTGTCGACGCCGACACGCCCACCTGCATCACCTGGCAGGAAGTGGGATCACTTGGCCAGAATATTGCCGACCAATTTATTTTCGATACTGACAGTACAACTGGCTTTGCACAGAGCCTGTCAGTTCTAGGCAGACAGTCGACATTGATGCGGGGATCATCCTAAGTTGGTGATGGAATAAGGTAGTAGTGTAAACTTTGCTACTGTTTACATTTGTTCCCTCTGAACCCATCGGTACCTTTATCGCGTCAAGAATCATAGAATCATAGCTTCGGCACTTTGATTTACGTCCACAGTAAATATTTAATTTATATTTTTTTTATTAATCTATGTACTCATTGGCTTAAACAAAATTGCTTGGCAGGATACCTTATATGATCATCAATGCACGATGCAGACAAAATCAACTTGGATAGGTGTTGCCAATCCTAGTGAGCTTGCTAAAGTGAACAAATTTTGCTTCGTGTTCTAACATTATTTGTCTCCCACAGTGGCCCGTTCCCTCCTGAACACATCCGACGACGGCTCCTTGCCCGACACTGCGATACACACCGCCATCGACATTTGGGTATCTTTTTGTCAGCCGTCAACACCGTACCCCGGTGCTCGGTGACACCGTCCACGAGCTTCACTCCCAGGTGCCACACGTGCCGTATGTGGACGTCGGGAGGACTGGGCGAGTTGTGCCGTCGCTGGCGCCTCTATGACTTCGGTGCCAGCGGCAATGACGACACCACTGCGGCAGAAGCAGGCTGGCCACCGTCCAAATGTAGCCTCAACACCACTGCTATTAGCTTTGTTATGGCTGTGACGGCGGTGGGCGTCTCAGGCTCAGCAGGTTTGGGCAGCACAGCCTCGATAACCGTTCCGGCAAAACACGCATTTCGATCCGCCACAACAAGCGATCCAAAAGCGCGCTCAGTCGGGCATGGATGTTGCCGTAAAAGACTGGCCGACTGGAAGACACAGAGACAATGTCGCCCGCCTTACGAGCTGGTACCGATAATGACGACTAGGTGAACGAACTCGCGCTTCATTCCCGCGTCGGCCGACTCCAAGAGAACGAGCTCTTCGACTATGGCTGCCCAAAACGGTTTGTGATGTGTTGCCGTTTCCAACGTTGAATAGGTTTTACGGTTTTTTTTTTTTTTTAAAAAAAAATTATTTACGTTTTCTCATATTAGGTAATAAACAAATCTGAATATCATTTATTTTTATTTTATTTTTGTAAATTCTTTTTAAAAAAAAACGACAGAAAAAAAAACATGTGTCATTTCACAAAATAAAAGAAATGCATACTTCTCGACAGAATCGACCGCGCAACCTTGTTTTTGCATCTTAACATCTTAAAATGAAAGACAGGATAACGTCCTCAGGAAACAACCGATGATAACGTGACGAGGAACGTGTGCGGTCATGCGTAGCACGGAACACACAAAGTTGTGGGCACCCGGAGAAATTGATGGCGGGTACGACGTGAGCAGTCTCGTCGCTTGTGGGTGCTACAGTAGATGTGATACAATTGGGACGTGCGGTGCCGCAGTCACCACGGCAAGGGACCCCGGTGAGTGAACGTCAAAAGCAAATACGTCGTAATACGTAGGAATATTTACGTACTGTGTGCTTCGTATGTTGTCAACACGATTGGCGAGGTGTGACTGCAACAGAATCAGTGATTTGATCGACTGGACAGCGTGCGACGATGTGATCCATTTGATGGACGATGTAAAAAAGCAAATAAAAGCATAAAGCCTGTGATGACTGCGACGCTTCAAACTGAACCTTATAAACAGCTGCAATGCAACGTGCGTGCGTATCGAAACAATATGGAGTAAAACCGGGCCCTAATACAACATACAAAGTAACACTCTACATGTAACCAATGCTGAAGGTGTTCGTTGAATAGGGGTCGAATAAAACACAAATCAATAACAGACAAGGGTCGACTGTCCCAACTACGTCCGCAAATGTACCAACCGTACATCCATATTCTGCAAACATGCAACATACAGATTTGCCCAACGCGTTGCAAGGATTCCGCCCCCTTTATCCACCGACCCAACGATCATTTCCAGAACAAGCATGTCGCTACGGGCACGTTCTCCGCGAATCAAACGGAGAAAACGGAGAAAAAAGCAAAACGGAAGTGCAGGAAAGAACAAAAAAAAAAAAAAAAGTTCGGCCGAGAGTGATGTGCAGTGGTAGTCTTCGAGTTTTGATCCGCTGAAAGCTCGCCCCTGCCCGTGGACCAGAACAGCCGCTGGAGGGCCCCTTTCCAGCTGAAGCCCAGGTTTTGTTCTTCTGTCAGAAACCAGGTTTGTTGGAAGAACAGGAAAGAACGAGTCAATGATCGACAGGCAAAAAAGAGTGAGGGATGCTCGTGTGCACAGACGGGCAGATGTGACAGTGGGATGAACTCAGGGGGGGAAGAGGGGAGGGATTGGATTGCTGTCATGAATTGAGCGTTACACAAAAGTAAATATTTAACTAATATTCAATCCGTAATTCATATCCAAAACAAATCAAAGGTATTTTGGTCATAAAAGAATTGGTAGCACGATTGCCTCGTGTGTAATAAATCATTCTTACGTCCCACGCTTTTTTGTAAAAGTTCAACTGCAGAAGCGACAAGACGGCTGGAAAACAAAGAAAAAAAAGACACCACTAAGAGACATGTACATTGGGGGAATAAGACTACCATAGAACAAGGCAACGCAAAAAGACAACACAGCACCAGTGTGGCCATCACCTTGACTCGGAATAGCTGGACCGGGCCTGGCTCTGGTGTGAGCCCTCCTCGACGGCGACCTTGACGTCCGTCGACACGACAATGCCGCCCTGCTTGTCCATGTAATTGGGGAAAATCTCCTCGGTCGACTCGGTGGCGCGGTTGCGGTGTGGCTGATGGGAGCCGTTGTTGGCGCCGCCGTAGGGATTGGCCGATGCGGACGCCAAGGTCGAGACACCGCCCAGGCCGTTGCTGCTGCCACCGCCAACACCGCCGCCGCCACCGGCCGCTCCCGTGTAGTTGCGTGACTGGATGTAGGTGCGCTGGCTCTGCAGGGCGATGGAGTTGCCCTGGTGGCCCGAGCGCGGGCCGTAGTTGGACGGGTAGGCCTTGGAGTGGTTGGACGACAGGCCGAGGGCCTCGTTGAGGATCGGAATCTCGGCCAGCAGGTTGCGCACGTAGGGCACGCAGGCGCAGATGATGAGTGAGCAGACCTCAGCGGTGGACCAGTCGATGGGGTCAATGAGACGCCAGGTGATGTCCTCGCTGGTGTCGCTGAGGTAGGTGGCACGGATAATGGAGATGACGCAAGTCAGGAGGCCGAGCGAGAACATGACAATTAGGCCGACGCGCTTGACCCACGGCAGCTTGAGGCGCAGCAGCGTCGGGATGGGCTCGAGGAAGAGCACGAGGTCGGTGGCCAGCTTGATGCCAAAGGAGATGTAGTAGAAGTTCAAGAGGTTCAGACAGGTGCCGTCAACGGCTGGGCGCCAGAACTTGTAGATGGGCCGGCAGGCAAAGCACACGACAAAGGTCTCCTCGACGCCCTGGGCGGCCAAGATGGCGATGATGACATAGTTGAGGCGGCGGAAGCCGGTGGTCGGGATGACGCGCAGGTAGAAGACGGCAAAGGACAGCTTGATGAGGACAAAGGCCCAGACGTAGGACACAGCCGAGACAAACTGGAGGATCAAGAAGCTCTCCAAGTCGGAGGCAGAGACGTCCTCGATGTGCAGGCCCATGCCATATTTGGTCACTGTTTTGTTAATACTCCAATGCTCTACGGTTTCAAAAACAAGTAGACGATGCTCATTGACATACTCAAAATCGAGGTGAGGGCGAGGCTGAAGGCAAAGAGGGATGCAGCCCAAATCAAGACATCGTCGAGACCGACTTGGTGCAAGATGACGAGGCGGACCCAGAGGCGAACGAAGAAAAAGATGCCGGTGATGATGATAAGGGCGGCGTTGGCGACGACGACGGTCGAACTCCGCGTAGGGTAGTCGACGGCCATGGTGATGATGATGACAGCGTTGGAAAGGACTTGAGATGGACGGGCGAGGCCGACGGCGAGTTTGACGGCGAGTGGTCGACTGTCGCCTGGCGTGCAAAGAACCAGCGTGGGTCGGTGGGGAGCGAACGTCGAAGGGTGCACTGGCGAACGATCAAACCGGACTCATCCACAGCGAACAACCATCACAAGGTCGATTGAGTTGAGATGAAATGAAGTGAGGCGAGGCCAGAGTTTATCTATTTCATGGACCACCCAAACCACCGAGCCACTGGACCACATTCGGGGACCTTGCAGTATACCCCAGCAGATTGAACGCAAAATCAGGCGCTCGGATCCAGGGCCAGGAACAAACACACTTGCAGATTCGGTTCCAAGCAGCCCTCCCGCTTGGGGATTAATGTAGGATGGTCGTGGACAGGGGACGAGGCAGGACAAGGATGATGGATATGCGAAACAAGCGACAGCATGGGCTGAAAGACGACAGGACGGTTGCCAGGACGGCGTAGATGTACGGAGTACGGACGGACAGATACTTCCTGCCAAGACAGTTTTTCTTAGGAACAAAAGACGCCTCGGGGAAATCGATGCAGCAGCTGGTGGGCAGGTTGGACAGGCGGCCGTGAGACCAGCCGTATGGCGAGGGCTGGAAAAAGAAACGAGACAATAAGGGAAGGGATCTTCTAGCGTGGTTGATCTGCTCCGTAGCTGACCTTTGTGTCGCGGTGGTTGTATCCCTTAGCCGAAGAGAGTTTTACGACATCGATATACGCCATTGCCCAGGGGCAGGCGTCCTTTGAAGGAACGGTCAAGTAGGAGAGTAAGGAGTCATCCCGGACAGCGCCGAGATGACCGTTTCCAGCTCTTCTAGGCCTGCCATTATGAGGTTACGGCCCTTGTCCATCCACTGCACATCTTTTGTCGGTCCCAGTAATCTCACAAAGTACTCGTAACTCCGGCCACATAGGCCGTACTCAGAAGTGATGAGCGCCAGGACGAGGGGAAGACACACAGCACCAGCAACGATGCCAGAGTCGTGGATGGGGCGGCGTATCGGGATGGTCTTTGTGTGGCAAAATTGACCTAACCACTTACAATGGGACACTGGGCAACAGACATTTTGTCACGACGCAGCACTCACATGAT